CGACCGGCCGCTTCTGATCACACGGACGAAATTCTCCCAAACGCTACAGTATTTAAATTGTCCAATCGGCATCGACGCTGTCGCGATACACGCTAAAATGATATTCGTATGCCAGAATGTCCCTAATAGCGCGATGGAAGGTGGGGGGGGGTCACAGATGCTGCAGGGGTCACAGGACCGCTTCTGGGGGTCACCACAACCGCTTCTGGGGGTGACGCGCCGAGCTCCCGTGTTCGGCGATCCGCAACCAGGCCCGTGGCAAATTACCACCCTGGCCGCATGACACCCCCACAAGCTGGAATTCGCAGAATCGAAAATACGAATTTTTTGTTTGTTTTGTGCGTGCGTGGTGCTACATTGTGGGAAGCAGAGGGAAGTGCCGCACGAGCCACTGCTGCACCGTACTATGTCCCCACAAATGTGCTCCACACCACCGAATTGGACTGACCAGCGTGGTGGAAGTAAATTAATTACCTGCACGGCACGGCGAGGCCCTCGTACAAACAGCGGATTGACGTAAGGGCTACGCGTGTAAGTTTATTTGTGCAATCATTGGTGACCAGCATGGATCATTCATCACAGGCAGCTGAAACACCTGGATTCAAACCCAAGTTCTCAGCTCAGTGTCTCCAACCGAGGGTTTAACCCCATCTGAGCTACCTGGCCACCTCGTGTTGATCTCAACTACCCATGTGTTCAAAGCTGGGCACTTTACATGCAATCAAAATCTGTATATGGCAGTTGCCGTGAAGGCCTCAATTCTTAATATTGTTTTCCTTCTAAATGGCCCATGAAGATTTAGAACAGACTTATAACTGAAACGTTTGACAAAAGAACAATGTTGCCCGAGTGATGCTAATGTGTGCAGCTGCTGATGATGATTCAGTTGATGGTGTGTTGGCTTTAGATAACGATTATGGCGAATGATATATTTAACGATGTTGGCATGTCAAATATAGCTTTGACTTGTAGATATATAATTGATGTTAATTGGTACATTTGTTTATGATGATGTCTGAATAAGGGTGATAAGACCACTACTTCGCAAATATAAATATTAATTAAAAATAAGTTTAAATAACTAACCTACAATAACAGGAACGAGATGACATTAAGCGGCAGTACGCACAACGGTAAATCATAAAAATAGAACTCTTTGCTGAATAATATTCAATGTGCATGTCTAATTGTTTCTATATAACACACGCATTTAGTATTCACAATTTAGCAATCCCTCAAATTCAAGTAAAACAGGAAAACGCAATAATGTATTAAATACACAAGCCAGTAAAATAAAGCGCGTAACTATCCGCCGATAACACTACCTAGTCATACAGTGTTCCATTACCATGAATATATGAACTTCTATTTCTGGATTATATTCCAACTTTGCAAATTGAAATGAAGTCATTGGGCAGATAGATATCCATTCAGTATTGTTGCAAAAGGCAGTGTTATTAGAGTACAGCCTCTGGAAGGTGATAACACAGAACTAGTACTGAGGTCCCAACTGATTACACAAGTTCATGCCATACTATCAAAGCAAAATATTTAATTGCCAGGGTTGAAATTTGCCCGAGTGCAAAGCACATTTGACATTTTTTTGCGTGTGCAGTAATTAATTGGTGACCTGGCTGAGACCATGAATTCACTACAAATTGAAAAGCTGGTTTAATTAAAGATGACTGAAACCTGGACTCGAACCCAGTTTCTTTGCAGCGATGCCTACTCAATTCTCTAACACACGAGCTAAATGGTCACCTAATATATCCACTTTGCATTGCGATTATACAGCTGTACTTGGTTAGCTTATACGATTTGCTATTTCTAACTTAACATCTATTGCGTAATAATAATTTAGCAGTACATTTAAAGCATTTTATTCATTCAGGTACGATGCTATATCTGTATAATAACCCATACACACACTGCGCAGTCATACATTTCCTAATGCCACGGACACAATGTTTCACTTCTGTGGCTATATTTCGCACGTAAATTATTTTGTATAAATGAATTCAGCGAGTTGTGTGCACGAGCTGTGTGATATCAACGCTTACATATGGATCCATGTTTGCATTATCGACTGGGACGCGGTGTAACGGTCAGCAGCAGCAGGGCGCTGGACTTGCGATCCAGAGGTCGCCAGTTCGATTCCATCTCCCGGCGTGGCGGAAGAAACAACGGTGCGAGTTTCTTAAATGCCCTCCCCCCCCTCCACCAAGCTCTGCCCAACCAGCGGTGCCAACGAGTGTACGGCGCGGTTCGTCGATAGCTAGGTCGCACGTGGTGGGGTAAAGCGTGGGTACTCCCAACCTTCTCCAAGACATCTGGCCAGCGTGCAAAAAAAAGAGTAGGCCTAGTATTCTCCAGAGGGACTCTCTAGAGCTGTCTCCAGTGGAGGTCCTTATCGCCAGCAGTGGTGTGAACAAGCTGTTGCGGGTCTGCCCTTTTACCTCTGTAATATCGAGTACAGATAACCTATTGGCGTGTCCTCGGAATGTGCATCATTCCACGCTTATTTGAGCAATTTTCAGTTTATGTAAAACATTTTTGTTAACGACCGTGTTACTGATCCACACGTCAAAGCGGGTAGCAGACACAGATACCGATCATAGTAATAATTTTACCAATCCACAATGACCAGCGTGGTGAAGTATGGTTAAATAACTTCCTACGACCCACATGGCGTGAGGAGGCCCTCATCCAGTAGTGGATTGGGAAAAGGGCTTCCATTTGTACGTATGTACTAATTATTTGCCTGTGTTGAGAATATCCCTGTTAAATTTCGATTTAAAGCTTTCGTGACTGCAGGGATTCATCTTCTTTGGTTCTTTCGGTAAAGTCACGTAGAATGAGAATAAAAGAATAAAATAAAAGACAATAAAATTCTCACGACGTTTCGGCCACAACACAAGTAGCCTTCTTCAGGTGAAAGAACAGAACTGTCGGGACGACAGCGCTTCGAATCTTAGCAGCGCTCATTGAAGCGCTGTCGTCCCGACCAGTTCTGTTCTTTCACCTGAAGAAGGCTACTTGTTTTGTGGCCGAAACGACGTGAGAATTTTATTGTCTTATTCTCATTCTACGTGACTTTACCGAAAGAACCAAAGAAAAATATCCTTGTTAATAGGGGGGCAATATTCGGGATTCATTTCAGCCGGGTCTGTATGGGTTGGAGAACCACATATTTCCACACCCGGCGCTTCACATCCACCGTACCCCGCGCTATGGCTATCAGTCACGTGCCTACTTCAGCCTAGCAGCTACCTGGAGAATATCAACCGTTGCCCCAGGCAACACAAATGCATCGCCTATACACCAAGTAACGCAACATCCGACATCGGAATGATATTCCCTATTAAATAAGGCATTGGCAAAAACACCAAAGCATCATCCAGGTTGATCACCGCCTTGTGAATATAACACACGGCCGTCTCAGACACTCGGGCACTCACACACGCCTGCTCACACACACACGCGCGCTCACACATGCACTCACACACGTGCACTCACACACGCGCACTCACACACTCACACACGTGCTCACACACGCGCACTCACACACGTGCTTAACAGCGCATGCCATCCCAACAGTGACTCATTGACATGCGAGTGACCCCTAAATCCTAAGCAACTGACACATAAATTACTTGGCAGTACCCCCCCCCCCCCCCCCCCCCCCCCCCCCCCCCCCCCCCCCCCCCCCCCCCCCCCCCCCCCCCCCCCTTGTCATAATTTACAGGCGATATTTACTAGATGGCTCTTCGAGTAACTCATCCGGTGGCTAAATGTTAACTCCCACGCACGGGCAGTGCCCTTAAGATTGACAGCCCCGGGTCGTGTTGCTATCGGAGTGTGCGGGCGCTGGACCCGCACCGGTGCCCACGGGCGCGGTGGGACAGAACGGTGCAAGAGAGACGGACGATACAAACGATGTAGAAATTACAACATTGGGAGTACAAAGCGGGCAGCACAATCGAAACGGTACAATTGACACCAATAACAAGAACAAAAAATACGCACATCAATGGAACGGCACAATCGAGACAAAAGGTACACGATATACGGATGTAACAAATGATGATATAGTTAACGCTTAGAGATAGTACAAATGTGACGGCATACAAGGAAAACACATAAGACACAGACTACAGGCCAGGGATTAACTTTAGCCGGGGTCTGTCTGTGCCGCCGGTATTTTCCACGCCCGTCACACCGCAAGCGGACTATACCTCTCGCAATGGCCGTCACCACTACTTGTCGAGTGCCACCTACTCCAGTCTAAGCAGGGATGTGGGAAACACTCAAGTGAGAAATTAAGACCCTGATACGGGCGGTATCGACGGTCCGGTACAAACGAGACGAGAGATTCTTAAATTGACCTGCGACAATTCATGGAATCTTGTGGAAAAGTGCAGGTGGTGAACTGGTCGCATGCCTATGTACTCGGTCCTACACAGCAACTACATTTTCTGATGGGCTCTGGAACAGAATTCGGCGTGTGCTAGCGATTCATGCGACGTCACGTGAAGCACGTCCGGGGCGTCGCGACGTCGCAACACGTCCGTACACGCGACCCCCGCTAAATCTGCATCTCTCGCCTGCAGCTCTCTCATGGCTCTGCCTTGTTCACCTCCGTTTCATTTCTGTATCTCTCGCCGACATCTCAGACATCACTTGTCTCGTGTTGATCTCTGCGTCGCCCCACCGATCCCTATCTCTTGATTTCTCCGTGAGCCAGATCTCTCAGCGGGGGCCGTAAGAAACTTGGCGGGCCACGGCAAGAGCCTCCGTGGGCCTCATGTGGACCGCGGGACTCCGGGTTCAGAACGCTGCTCTGCAATACCCAGGGGTAGGAGAGGCATTCACTTCCCCATCACCCGTACTGAATATTCCCCACAGCAGCTCATTGCAGACACGCTCACTCTTATCGATTCCAAAGCAGCTATGAAGCAGTCAAGATCTCGTCAATTTATAGGTCAATTAAAACAGCTGTGGAATTGATGCCCCCGTCTGACGTGAAATCCGCACGATAGGCCGACGCTGTTGCTCACACTGTAATTCGAGCGCTGCGTTAAAGAAAATTTGACGGCTATTTAAAAACAAACTCTGAATTTCCATGCTTGTAGAAATAGTTAGCTTAAAGCATGGGTAAAACAACAAGATAATTATATTTATTATAGATTTGATGGAAATTGTTTCTCTACTGGTGGTGAGAAGCTTTTAGCCAGCCTCAGATGGAAGATGTCAGAAGCAGCGTCAATGTGTTCAGCCATATTACTCTAAGACTCCGTTCCATAAATAGGAACTCTCCAGCCTGAGTCACCAATGATGGTGCTGTCGGTTATCATGGGTGCAGGGTGGAGCAGGTCAGGTCGCTGAGACAGGCACTGGAGTGGCAGCACTCAAGAGCTCGGTGACCATGGGGAAGAGAAGATTGAAAGAGCCAGACGGTGGTGGTGGTGGTGGTGATGATGGTGATGAGACTGTAAGAGCGGTCCCGGGTAACACTGGGACAGGCGGCGGCCGCTGCAGCACCCCCTATCCTCCACGCGCCCTATGGGACCTAAAGCTCTAGCAAGGCTCCGTTTCCCACCGTGGGAATGCTCGGACAGATGTCGGAGGACACAGCGGACACGATGACAGACGAGGGGACGACGTTGCTGTTGGACATGTCGTCCGCGCGGTGTGCGGCCGGCGGGCGGAAGTCGGCGGCGAGGGACGCGGGCGGGCGGCGGCGGCCGAGCGGGCTCTCGCCGTCGTCGCCGCCCGCGTCGTCCTGGTCCTCGGCGCCGTCGCCGTCTCCGCGGGAGGAGAGGAGGTCGTCTTCGTCGCAGCCCGGGACGCCCGTCAGCGCCGGGCCGGGCTCGTAGAGGGGGGAGAAGTCGGGCCCCGACAAGCCATCATCCTTAGAAACAGGGCTGGCAGACAGCGGACACATCGGTTGGCGTTTGGGGCCAGGATAAAAGGACACCCGGCTGGCCTCTGGCCACTTCGGTGGCACCGAAGCTGTGCTGCTGCCTGCTGCACCTATTAGAGTCGACACGTTTGCTACCTGAACTCAACAGGGAAGGTTAACCTAATGTAGGCCTCGTCAATTCCTCTTTATGTCCCATCCCGTTACTCATGCCCCACCCCTACATTTTGGCCCCACCCCTTCCTGTTTAGGCACCACCCCTTCCTGTTTAGACCCCGCCCCTTTCTGTTTAGACCCCACCCTTTCACGTTTAGGCCCCTTACCGATTAAAGCCCCCGACTCCTTCCTAGACCACGTCTTTTTTTGCTTCGGGTTTCGCGCCTTTCCTTTTTAGAACCTGCCCACTTTTTAGGCCCCGCCTCTTTCTGTTTAGGCCTCGCCCCTTCCTCTGGCCACAGGCCTGGGCTGGTTTGCGTAGTGGTTGGGGGGGGGGGGTGTGAGGACAGTTGGGGTCCGGCAGCTTCACGAAGACGACCAGAATCCAAAATGTAAACACCTACCGTATTTTAACCAAGGTGAAAACTACGGAAAACCAAACATTTCTAGGTGCTTACCGAGGAGGTGTGTGCAGTGATGTCAGGCAGAAGAGTAAATGTACAACCCTTCTGTAATTACACTGTTGGATGAGGGCCTACCGACACCGTGCAGGTCCTTGGGGTGGGGGTTATTTAACCGTACTCCATGCCAGTCAGTGTCGGTTGAAGGTAAGGAGCACAGATGTGCTGGAACAGAGTACAGTACAACACTGGAGTTCTGCTGCACTACCTTCCTCTGTTGGCTAACACCGAGGCCCTCGCAGCGGCCTGTAACAACCTGCCGTGCATGCTGCTCGCCCATCCAAGCACTATCCAGGCTCAACCCCGCTTCGCCTACGGGATCTATGGAGATCAGGTGCATTCTAGATGATTTGCCCATACTAGCGACACATATTTGAACGTACATCGACACAGTGGTCAGTGTGGGTTGGTGACGGTGGAGAGTGTAGGAGCACACAAGTACAGCACGACAGTGGATTTTTCCGCACGGCTCTCCGCTGCCCACCAGCACAGCCGCACAGCTGATGAGACCTGCTGTGCAATGTGGCCGTCCCGTCCGAAGAAATGAAGAGGCTAAACCCTGCTCAGCTTTCCGAGATCTGAGCACAGCTTCTCAAGCGATATCACTGCATTGACGTTGTTTCGAAACTGGTGGAAGTGACGTTCTGGCAACGTCGCTATACTCGGCGATCGAAATGTGAAAGTCAAAGTGCCGGTTATAAAACCTTTCTCGTCATGCAGTCCACGTACACTGCCATGGCCCCTCTGCGGGAACATCGTGGCATTGGAATAGGAACTGCTGTGCAAAGTGAGGCCACTTGTGTTTGGTGTCGTGAGAAGTTCCGACATGGCGTACTGTCGCATACCGGCACATTTACACCACTGGCTATGCTGCCATGATGATGGCTATGACATTGATCATAGCTAAATGATAATTGTAGGGTCAATTAAAATGACAGTTGCAGTTACGAAGATGAAATATTGTGACGTCGATGATGATGGTGCCGATAATGACGGTGGTCACAGGACGGTGTCGATGGTGGCGGCGTTCACGGCAATAACTGACGTGGCGTTCACTCCGACGTGAATGGCGTCGAAGACAACGACCTTTGTCTCGTTACCTTACGTCCATCGACTGCACCTCGTCAAAAGCCTCCGCGGCCGCTGGGAGAACGTGCCCAGGAATCTTCCCTGGCGCGTCGGCCTTTTCCTCCGACAGACTCCCGTCCGATGCCAGCGCCGACCCCAGGGCGTCGTCCCGGCCGACCCCGGCCCTTCCTCCATTCTCACACCCGTCGGGGCTTCCGCCCAACGGGACCTCCTCTTTGTCCTCCTCAGCTGCGAAATCTGCCGGGGACACCTTTCGTCAGCTCGTTCAACGTTGTCCACCTTTAGGCTGACGTTGCTGACGGGGGGGGGGGGGGTGGGGGTCCCCCGTAGAGTAGAGGTCGTCCTTGTATGAGGCGGCGGCGAACGTTGCACGTGCTGCGTGTATGTTCAACTTCTTTCGCACCATACATAGCCAACCGTGCTAATCGGAGTTGCAGTTGGTGACGGCGCTGGGCTTAGGGGTCCGGACGAGGACAAGTCCGGTGTCAAGTCGTGTGCCGGGTTCATTGCTGGCTGTTGGGATGGCCAAATATTTATCAACTCTTTGAGTTGGTGGTCTAAAAAACGACAAATTGGCCACATGCACAGTTCTTCTGAGCTGGTGGTCTGAACAAGGCAGAGAGCTTTTGTACATGCAATGCACCACACGTATGTGCATTGCATGTAGTTTAAGGGAACTGTTTTTAAACTATGTGCATTAGGGTGCCAGTCAAATTTCAAGTTTGTTATTTTTAAGGTCACAGTATCGAGGCACAAAAGAACAGGAGGGGATCCTAGGTGAGTGAATAGGTGAGTGAATAGTTGAGTGGGTAGGCGAGTGAGTAGGTGGGTAGCTTTGTGCCACTCAATACACAGAGTCACAGTATAGAGGCACAGATGCACGGAAGAAGAGGGGATACTGAGCACCTTGTAGTCGACACAAACCCGAGGAGAATGACTCTCAGCTGTTGACTTTTACACAAGGGTAACAGAGAGGAGGATGTAATCCCAGAAAATGTAAATGTAACTTTTACATACGCATCGTGAGTAGCACCCTAATGCGCATATAACATTGCGTCTGTCTGTTCCATTCCCAAGAGGATATTGGACACGCTATGTTAATTGCCTCCCGTTAGTATCCAACATTGTGTAATACGCGACTAATTTAAACGCCGCCGCGCCATTGGCATCGCCACGAGAAGAAGAATCCATCCATTGGGATTTCTCGCAGAGCAGCGCAGCCCCTCCTCCGTGCTAGAGAGCGGCCCGCAGAAGTGGAAGTCACAGAGCTACCTCCGAGATCCCCTTATTCAAGTGACGTTCTGGTCCACACACAGTAAGCGGGGGAAGCACTTGGCCACTCCGCTCGCGCACGTGTGACAACTGTGCGTCAGTACAACAAATGAAACGCAGAAAGTAATTTAATGTGGTGGGGTTTTTTTGTGTGCAGTCATTGGTGAGTGATATTTTAACGTTTTCAAGTCCACTGATCGGGCCACTCATTTCTGTTTGTCCATCCAAGGGCTCCTTCACGTGTTTTTGTCTTATGAAAACCACAAAACCTCTACACCAATCGCTAGTACCAACACCAGGTTTATACAAGTTGGCTTAGGAGATATGTTAGTCAGCTTGTTATATTTTACGTATATATCGTAAAATATATATATTTTTATGATAATACAGTCAGGTTATATGACAAAAAAGGTAACAAAGTGCTGTATACCTAAATATGTTTAATACAATGATCATGATGATGACGAAGTTAATAACAATGTTGTTGATAATGACAATGACATAGATGACGCGATGGTGGTGGAAATGTTAACGATGACGATGAGGCTGCCGCTATTATCGGTGCTACCGATGATGATGGCAGTGATGATAGTAGAGCTGTTTCTAATGATGATGCTGCTGATGACAGTCCTAGTATCTGTAAAGGGCATACTGACGTGCGAACGTGGTTGTGTGTGCATTGTGTTGGGCTCGTGTGTGTAGGTATGCGTGTAGGCATTGTTATCCGTGTATGTTTAACCTTCTGTTTGTCCACTATCATCTTCCGAAATAAAATCCAGGCCCTTGTTCTGTGATTCTTCAACGGCAACGATGGGTTCCAGCACAGACTGCAATGAGAGGAAGCGTAACTATCCATGATAATTGCAAGAATCAGAACTCACCAATACACTCCAAACAACAACAACCGCCATTCGCCACTAAGTGGCGGTGATGTCACCACGGCGCTTGTGCCAGGCTATGTGTACCTTGAGGCCACGTGAAGTGTCAAAAGCTCGCTGGTAGGATGTCACGAGACAGACCCAGGTGCCATGGGTTGACTGACTGAAGATGACTGGCAGATGCACCAACTGTGCCCCCTACTGTGTTTTGTTTTAGCTGCCTGGCGCTCTGCTCATTGCTGTGAGCAACTTTTCCCTGACATCCGTTGCTGCTGGAGGGTGACTGCCTCTAACTGCCCAGTAGTAGCGTCCATCACGAGCCTCCTAAACAGAGGCCGATCTTGACACCGCTTGTACCACTCATTGGCAAGTCCACTCAGCTCCATATCCTCTTGTACCATGTCATTCCATTCACTCCAGTCACTCGCTAAGCCGCCTCCTGATCACCATTCTAATGCGACTACCACGTCAGTAGATGAATGTAGAAATCAATGCTGAAGAGAGACTCTCACCTTCCCCACGTCCGCTTTGTACGGCTTGCGGGTCCTGCTCATGATTTGTTCCAAGCGCTGAAAACAGGAAACACAAGAAAACAGCCTTCGTACTCGGAGGAGTACTCCTAGCCACATCTGGGGGAACCCAGTTCCGATCTTGTCGACAACACGACAGCAGCAGCAGCAATAAAAAAAACACAGCAGGTATTTGTTTACCAGGCCTGGCTGCTGGTGAGACTCAGTTGCAACCCCATCCAGTGTGGTTTGCTGTTTAAACAAACGCAGTTAAACGTAAACTTGTTTTGTTTGTTTGTTGCCCAGAAGCCGCTCCCGCTCACAATCTCGTCAAGCTCTTAGACGCCAAGCCAAGTCTGGCCTACTTATACTGGTTGCATGGGATGACCACCACGAATAAAGCAGGTGGTATAGGCTGCTGCGGCGTTAAAAAGCAGCAAACTCCACCATTACATTGATCCATGCTCCAATGCCCACGTTCCCCGCGTTCATCAAACCCGCACTGACCACTGTGGTCAGGTATGGTCGCACAGCTACCGGGAGGGGCCCTCATCCAGCAGTGCATTGGCACAACGGCCGCGCGTCTCCACCAGTGGCAACAGCCATCGAGGAGTGTGCAGGCGGTGCAACTGCACCGGGGAAGCCGCACGCGCACACCTTCTTCCTCTCCTGCCGCTCCTGCTCCTCCCGCTGGAAAACCTTCTCGCGCTCCTGACGTTGCCGCTCCGCCTCCTCCAGAGCCCGTGCCTCGGCCTCCTCTCTCTGCCACCGGCGAGGGCAGACGGTGGAGGGGTGCGGAGAGGAGGAAACGCGTTCGCGGCATCGGCCACAATCACCCCCCCCCTTCGTGCTGCCGTGGTGGCATGAGTACGCGAACGAATGAACCGACGAAACGAGCCGCCGTGCCCGAGCGGCACACGGTCGCTCGGCACCTGCCACGGCGGTGGGTCATCGATCTGTCAGCAGGGGGCAAAGGGCAGCTGGCGAGGCAGCACTCGGCTGCTGCTGCTGCTGCTGCTGCTTCTGCCGCCGCCTTTCACCGCCCGTCCGCTGGTTCCTCGCCGCGCCTCCGAGTCGTCCTCTCTCTCTTCGGGAGCGAGGAGCGAACACCGCGTGGCGGTGGCGGCGGCGGCGGCGGCGCGTTACGAGTCGATGTCATTGTAACTTTTTTACGTACTCATTGTTTTTTTTAATTGTAACTCCACTTGAGCCCGCAACAAGGCACCAATCACAAAACAAGAAGGGGGGGGGGTAGAACAAACATTCCACGCTCAAGAGCCCGAGATCGGCGTGAGCGGGCTTAGCGAAGGGGGTTAAGTTGGGCTCCATGCCACGCCCAGGTGGGGAGGATCTCTAGCAGAGAGGTGAAAGTTTATATAACATACCTGTCAACCCATACGGTTTACCCGTATTCTTGTGCAGGAAAATTTAGTTTTCAGGTCCGTATGGCGTACAGCCGTTTCAATACGGGCAAAAAAATAAAAATTTGTTTGTGATGGGACTTTATAAGATGAACGTTGAGATTTATAAGGGTACGGGGTGACCAATGAGGTCTGAAATAGTCTGTAACAAGGTAGGCGCTGATAAGGGATTGACAGGTACGATATAGAAGCGGGGGGGAGGGGGGGAGAGTAAGGCGAAGGGTATCTAACATATAACAGGTGAAAAGAGATCATCATGATTATTGTTATCACGATCATCGCCGGTGACGTCGGCGTAATCGCGGGGGCCGCGCCGTACCTGGCGCTGCAGGTCGACGAGCTTGTTGTGCTCGTCACGCTCGTGCTGCAGCCGCTCCACCACGGCGCGGGCCTCCCTCTCGGCCGCGTCCCTCGCTCGCTGCTCTTCCGCGCGGCGCGCCTCCTCCTCCCGCCGCAGCCGCTCCTCCGCCTTCCGGCGAGCCAGCTCCTCCTTCATGAGCCTGTGACGGTGATCGGTCAATGAGTCAATCAGTCGACCAGTCGATCGATCGATTAAGAAAACCAATCGGCCGCTCCTCCGCTTTCCGGCGAGCCGGCTCCTCTCTCATGAGCCTGCGACGGTGATCGATCAATTGATCGGTCAGTCAATCAACTCTCTGGTGAGCCGGCTTATCTCTCATGAGCCTGTGATTGTGATCAATCAATCAATTAGTCAATCAATAAGTCAATCAACTACTCGTACACCTTCTGGTGAGCCATCTCTTCTCTCATGAGCCAGCGATGGTGATGAATCGATCAATCACTCAATCAGTCGCTCCTCTCATGTGTGCCCATGTGTGCACGTGGAAAGCGACGATGGTGCAGTGATTAGCGCGCTGCGTTACGAACCCGCTCATAACTAACATCGGTGACAAATATCTCAACCGGTTCCGGTCCTCCCCTCGGTCGATTCAGCATGAAATGAGTACCTGGTGCAAGTGCGTGAACATCAGCACTGCGGAGACAAAGCTGGCCGGGCGTGGTGATGGCCACCCACCCCGTCGTGTGCCGTGTTGCCCTTAATAGGGGCTCGCTAACAGCACTTGCCCCACCAGTGTGTTAAGGCGACACGGGGGATCTCGGTCTTTTTGTATCCGTGACAGCGAAGGATTCTTACCGCTCGTTCTCCTCTCTGACGCGACGCTCCACCTCCTCCCTCTCGCGCTGCTCCCGAGCCTGGCGTCTCTTCTCTCCCAGCAGCCTCGTGGCTTCCTCCGCATTACTGGTGCCAGCGCGGTTATCACCTACGCGCACACACGCACACCGCACAAAGATCCCCCGTATAGCCTGAACAGACTGTTGGGGCAAGTGCTGTTAGCGAGCATCTATGAAGGCCGGCACGGCACACGAGGGGGTGGGTGGCCAGCACCACGCCCGACCGCCTTTGTCTCCCCGGTGACGATCTTTACACACTGCACCAGGTACTCATTTGAGGCTGAGTCGACCTAGGCGAGGCCCAGGATCGGTTCAGATCATCGTCACTGGTGTTGATCATCATAAGACCACACACATACACACACACCACACACACCACACACACCACACACACCATACACCACACAAACACAATGCACACGCGGTGAGCTGGTGGCCGGATGGGGCTAACAGGTCAGGGCATTGAACTGCCACGGTGAGCTCCTTGGTTAAAATCCAGATTTCAGCAGCCTGTCAAAGCAAAATGAAACTATTTCTTTATTTTTATTTTACCAGGTAAGGCCCACTGAGCTATATATCTCTTGGCTCTCACAAATGATAGCTCAATGAAGCGGATTATCATCACGTGGATATTTCTCGCAGCCAAATACTCTAAACGTGTGTGCATTCTAAATGTGGCGGGAAAACCCGGAGGACCCAGAGAAAAATCCACGCAACCACGGGGAGAGAGAGACACGCAAACTCCAAATATAGAGCAGGCGTCAGGGTCGGGATCGAACCCACTAACTCCTGTATACCTTGAAAGGCAGTTAACATCTCCTAGCCACAACGACGACGCGGTCAAGACAATGACCGCACCAATTGTTGTACAACATAGGAAGTCAAGGTCCCAAAAGTCAACGACATTTTAAAAAGGAAGCATCGTTGGCGGTGCTCAAGTCCCCCGTTTACAGCCCCGAGCCAGCGGTAGAAACTTCTACATTCCTGTGGCGAAGGCGAGTCCATCCCTAAGGCAAGCGCTGATGACTTGCAAACAAGAACACAAAGGAGTATGCGCAATGTGGGAACATGCCCCTTGGATAGAATCATCTAAAGTCGGGGAATGGGACCGTTTTAATAGTGCGGAGTACACGGGAACGGTAATTCCAGGCGACGGTCAGTGGGTCACATGAACGCGGTGAAACTCCCTTCCAGTCGGTGCCCGGGGAGCCATGATACGTTGGCTCGTCAGAAGGCGGCCCATCAAATGTGTTGTACTGCACACGTTCCACCCGAGCGGAACGGAGTTGTTTCCCGCCTCGTGGGTTTCCTCCGGGCGCTCCAGTTTATCTCCCACATGTAAACAGTCTTATTGAACGACTGAAAACAAACTCGATATAGAGAGGACCGCAGAACTTGGCCAATTCGCTGGTGCCACAGCTCACCGCCTGGCTGCTGCTTCTGCCGCTCGTCCGTGGGTTCCTCCTCGTGCCACGCAAGCGAGCGGGAAACTGTGCGGCAGTAGCGGCGCATTTCAAGTTGACTTTTACTACGAAATATATTAAATGACAAGATAAACGCCACGGTGGCGAGATGTTAAAACTCCTGCGCCTGGTATGCAGGAGGTCGTAGGTTCGATCCTGACCCTGATGTCTGCTCACTGTATATTTGGAGTTTGCGTGTCTCTCTCTCTCCCTGTGGTGGCCGTGTGGATTTTTATCCGGGTCCTCCGATTTTTCCCTCCATATTTAGAATGAATGTGTGTTTTAAAGTAATTAGCTGCTGCTATAAATTTCTACATGATAAACCATTTCGTTGATCTATCATTTGTGGCCAGACCACTTTTGAAAAAGAGCCATATAGCTCAGTGGGCTTCACCCGGTAAAATAAAAATAGTTTCGTTTAGTCTATGGTTCTGTACATATCTCTATGGATCTCTATGTGTCTCTATGGGCCTCTATGTGTCTCTATGGGCCTCTATGTATCTCTATGTATCTCGATGGGTCTCTATGCGTCTCTATGCATCCGTGCTTTAGGTCATTTGGCTGCTGCTGTACATTTCCAAATGATAAGTCACTTCATTGAGCTATCATTTGTGATGATAGCTCATATAGCCACGTTGCTTTTGAAAAAGAGCTACATCGCTCAGTGTGGCCGTACCTGGTAAAATTAAAAAAAAGTTTCTAAACACCAGGAAAGGCAGCGTAAGGAGTGTTTACTGCCAAGACAGTGACCGCCTCTGTCAAGTAAATGCCGGCCACGGCTTGAGAGTCACCCCCCAGCGGGAAAAAAAAGTGTGACACCGTTACCGGCGTTCGCCTGTTCAGCCGGGGCCTCGGAGGCCTCCTTGTCCTTGGATTTGGCTCCGCGCGGCAGCTTCTTCTCGGGAGTGCCGGGCGACTTTACATCTCCCGGCGTGGCCGCTCGCTCCTTCGTCCGCTCGCCCGATCGCCGAGCCTGCCGCGGGTTGCCGGGCGACGGCGGACGATGGCGGGAGGGCGACTGGGGGGTCGCGTTGCCAGGGGACGTCCTGCGGCGTCGCGCGGGAGACGACTTCGCCGGAGAGGGCAGCCTGCGGAACAAGCGCAACCGTAGCCCCGCCGTTTGGCCGCGTGCCCGCGTGTGTAAACAACGCTCAGAGCGCCGGCGTTCGCCCGACTCTCGTTTAGCCCTAACGCGTTTTTGTCGCGTGCCGTGCGTGCGCCCTCCGCGGCGGTAGATCACGGGGCACCGCGCCGCCGTACCTGGCCATGCCACCTGCAGGCGAGGTCGGGGTTTTGTCGTTGGCCTCGGTGGCCGGGGAAGGGGAGCGCTTTGAGTGCGCCGCTTCACGCCTCATGGCCGGCAGGGTCTCCTGACTCCTAGAGCTCGTCTGCGAAAACACGTGGCAAGAAAGTCGTCGGCATCATCAGCGGCATCAGCAGCAGTAGCATGGGCATCGGCATCATTATCATCAGCAGCAGCATGAGCAATGGCATCATCAACAGCACCATTAACATCCGAGTTGTGATTATCGTCGGAATTAAAACAGGTTTAATAAAGGATAAACCACTGGCTGGCTGCAGGGTGACATCTCGTCAAAAAATTATGCATTGGCTGTTAAGGGGTTAATCTTAAAGCTGGGAGCACATCGCGAGTGTGCGTATGCGGCGTGTACATACGCGGGGGGGTACGTACCTGGTGTGTACGAACGTGGGGGGGGGGGGTACGTATGTGGTGTGTACATACACGGGGGGGGGGGGTACGTATGTGGTGCGTACGTACGCGGGGGGGGGGGGGGGGGGGGGGGGGTACGTATGTGGTGCGTACGTACGCGGGGGGAGTATGTATGTGGTGCGTACGTATGAGCCACCTCTAAGTCCTGGCTAGAGCCATTGTCTGAAGAGTCCTTGCTCAGTCTGTCTCCACTCCGGCTCCGCAGGGGGCGGTTCGGAGGAATAACCGGGCCTCCCGAAGACCCAACACGACCTCCGGAAGCCAGCCCTAAGCAAGGGAAGACGAACAAATTTAGAGATGAACAAAAGAGCAGAATATTTTTTTTTTAAATCAAGCGGAGAGGTAGAAATCTACTGAGAGACGCAGACACAAAGACAGATACAGATAGATGATTGGACAAAGGGGCAATAGATAAGAGACACACTGAGAGATGAATAAACAGACAAGACAGTGGAAAAATGTATAGATGGACAGACATAATAACAGGTGGACAGAGAGAGAGTAACAGACGAATGGATAGACAGTGGAAAGTCAGACAATGACAGCACAAATGTATAGATCGATGAGACAGATACAAATAGACAGATGAGAAAACCAGATCCACAGGTAGATGGACAGGCAGACAGATGGGTTAATGGAGAGGCAGAGAGATGGAGAGGTAGGTACAATGTACTCGAGAGATAGACAAATAGATGGACAGAGAGAAAGCTGGGCAGACAGATGAACAGAACAAAAGCAGATGGATGTGAAACCAGATAACATTACAGCGCAACAGACAGAAGACAGATTGACATACATACAGACGGACAGAGAAACTAATAGACGAAGACAGACAGAAGCACAGATGAACAAATAGACAGACTGGCAGTTAATAAAGAAACGTTAAAAGCACGATAAAAACATGGCAATGACTACACCTAATTGTAAGTGAAACGGTTAATTGTAAGTGAAAAATGCAATTCGATTTCAGAGCAAGAGGATGCAGCTTATCAGGACACGTAAAACTATTCCAAAATTTCGATTTAAAGCTTTCGTGACTGCAAGGATTCATCTTCTTTGGTTCTTTCGGTAAAGTCACGTAGAATGAGAATAAAATAATAATGTTGTGGCCGAAACGTCGTGAGAATTTTATTGTTAGTGCTATTTTATTAATTTATTATTTTATTCTCATTCTACGTGACTTTACCGAAAGAACCAAAGAAGACTATTCCAAAATATACTGATGCATCACGAGACCGCTTGATAAATAAAGCCTTCAGCCTAAGGCGAGATGCAAATAAAGTCGGGCCGGAAAGTGTAAAAAAAAAGTAAAATCCCTTCCCCCTGCCTGCTCTGATGAGTCCGGTGTGCCTGACACCGACGATGAAACTGGTCGTGCCGTCCAAAATGTCAGCATGTTGCAGTGTTATGATGTGAGGGAGGACGTGGAATACAAATATTGAATATATAAAAAATATATTTTATATATTAAATATTTTATATACAAAAGAAATATCGGCCAAGTGGTTGTTGAGGGCCAACTTTCGTATTGCAAAGACAAAGTGAACTAATAAATAAAAAAACACGAAGGACGCTTGGCTAAATGTGACCGTGGAATTGCGATAGTGCCAGCTTAATCATTTATTTCACAGCCCCCTTCTGTCGATCGACTCCACTGCTGGATGAAGGCGTCCCCACATACTTTGTCTCTCATGGAGGTTGTTTAACCGTACACCGGTTCTAACATCGCTTTGTCACTGGTGTCAGCCGTTGGCAGGAATCGAACTCTGTTCGTCGGGTTCGTAGCGCAGTGTGGGAACCGCAGCACCACTGTTCCGTAACAAACCGACATCCTATATTTGTGGCAAAAAGGTCTCTACCCAGGGCCTCACTGTCCCTCACACGGCCATTATTATCAATAAGAGGTTTATTGGGTTAGATCGCGTAAATATATAAACGTGTCGTTAAACCCGCCACCACCACGACACAGCCAATTAGTAAGGCTTGTCACGCAAACAAAACGTGCCAATTCGCTACTAGTACAGAACACACCGGTATGTTGGAGAGTAAACCCACTACCACATTTACAATCCGAGTGCCGTGACGTTTCGCCAGTAAGTAAAACAACCAGCATCATCAGACGACAGCAAGCGTTGTAGAGAAATCCTATTCCTGTTTCGGTTTTAAATAGACGGGGGATAAATGTGGAGTCGTTACTTGTGAGCCGATCAGGTGAGAAGACCAGAGGGGGATGGGGGAGGGTTAATGTATTCATATGAATTACAATGGATATCTATCATTCGGTTTAACGACACATTTATATTTACGCGTTTTTAACCCCCCAAAAAACCTCTATTATGGATAATATTGGTCGCGTAAGCCTGCTACTATGTGTTAAACGACTGTTATTACAAATCGGAACAATGGGGACACCCAGCCTCGGAACTCGTTAAACCCAAACACAGATGTTCTGTCTTACTGTCCTTTACAAAGCCATTCGGAAACCCACTGAAAACAAAAACACTCAGACCCAGGGTTCAATCCAAGGACCTTTTTTTCTCTCTGGCTCAGTGTCTTTCAACATAGGCATTGTGAAACCACTGGGAAAATAGAGCACCCACTCAGACTCAGGGCTCAAACCCAGGATCTCAAATGTGCTGGCTCAGTGGCTATGATGTGGCCCTTATGGTCCCGCCTGAGATAGACGATTGGCGGGCGTGGGCTGGACCACGAGTTGAACCGCTCTGCTCTCACGCTTTCGCCACACGCACTACCGCGTGCATCTTTGAGATGTCCGCAGAGTACGACATCTTCGTGGTGTTGAGTGACGTCCGCAGTAGTTTCATGGGCAAAGCTTGAGAGAAAAAAAATTGAAACTCACTCAACACGTGGCCTAACCTGGAAGGCCACGCTTGGGACTGCGAGTGGCTGGCTTCGTGAACACAGACACCCGGCCACTTTCAAGTCAACGGGCTCTTTCAGTGTTACTTTCTTGCCATGCTGAATATCTCCATAGCTTTACCGGTCAGGGAGAGGACGGCACAGCTCCGGCTGCGCGCTAAAGATGAACGCGTTGGGGCCATCAACCGACTAACAACATTAAGGTCGGAAGGCCGGCGTTCAAACGAAGATGGTGCTAAACCCACGCACGCACACGCGCACACACACACACCATACGCGCACACACACACACACACCATACGCGCACGCACACAAAAGAAACCAAAACAAGCATGAGATGGAACAAGATGGATTGTCATTTGGCTGCGTGCACAATTACGAAGAGCAAGAGAGTTTTGTTCGAAACAAAAACACAGCCGGTGCGAGCGTTTGAAAAGTCGGTGGGCCCGACACGAGAGCAGCACGACAGCACAGGGCGAAGGCTAATCGCGAGCACGTGGCATTTAAGTGGGTTTGCCGAATGTCACAAGAATGAGATCGACAGCATCATCATCGCCGTCGTCATCATCATCAGCCATTGGCAATCAGATGCTGTGATGAAGGCGTCCCCCCCGAAGCCGCCGCCAAAGATGAATTGGACATAAGGTATATATATTTTTTGTTACAGGCCATTAAAATGGTCTGGCTCTGCGCGCTAAAACGTACAAATTACAGAATTTAAAAAAAGTTTTCAATGGGAGATAGTCAGACCCGGCTCGCGGCGTGCACCTCCCAAATGTCTCCGCAGAAAGAGGATCGCTTGCCGAGAGGGAAGGACTTTTTCTCATGAGGATGAAACGATGCGCACGACGAAAACGAAACCGATGGTTACTTAAACGACCCGAGTGATGATTGCGTTGTGAAAGAGGGGTTTGACGAGTAGATTGGAACTGTGATGATGACGATGATGATGGACCATGCGGATTGCACTTTCAAGGGGACCGTGTAGAGAAACAATGCAGCGTCGCTGAGGCCACTCGCCGCTCTCTGTGTGAGGACACCGACTTCTCCAGCAACCCTTTGCATTAACACTGACGAGTGCACACAGCCAAACACTAACGAGCATGTAACATGATGTCAAGCAATGCAATGGATTGTAAATAACTTTTAAATTATGTTGAACAGAAATAGACGGAAAATGCAGAATGAGGAGTGTTGTCGCGGAAAATAAATGCAGACACAACAGCAACGCACGCGCAATTAACTGTATTTTTTGCCGCATGAAATGTGCATTCGGAAATCATACTGAGCCCTAATGCCATTTATCTACATCTGTGAATCAGCTCAAGTCACGTGACTTCTGTGCGTGGCCGCCCCAACTCCGAACCCATTGCCTCTGCCCCGCGGCCCACTGTGAAAAGAGACGGTTGCTCTGTGCGGCTCCCTCTGCTACTGGCTCCTACCCTCTCCCTACCTCCCCCTCTCACCGTCACCATCTCATCCCCGACATCTATGGGGTGCCGCGATGGCGGGATAGTTACTCCCTCGCCTGGAATGCAGGAGGGCGTGGGTTCGATCGCCACCATGACGCCTGTTGCATATTTGGGAGTTTGCACGTCTCTCTCCACGTGGTCGCGCAGTTTTTTCTGCGGGTCCTCCGGTTTTTCCATCCACATTTAGAATCAACATCACGCGTTTAGAGTATGTGGCTACTGCTATTAATTTCCACACGATAAGCCACTTTGTTGAGCTACCATTTGTGATATCCGGGTCACTTCTGAAAAAGAGCGACATAGCTCAGTGGGGCCTTACCTGGTAAAATAAAAATAGTTTCGTTTAGTTTCAGTTTAGATCTTGGCCCAGTCATTCATTTTCACCCTCTCTCCTGCTTGCCCAAAGCTCCTTCTCCCCTTGAGACCGTGCCCGACTTACCTTCCTGCGGTGTGCCACGGGTGAAAGCTTTCGCAACAATAACGTGACGTGCTGTACGGCTCTCCGACGCGTTTGCAGATTTGCTCCGCGTACTGTCCTAAAATCCGGTTCTTGCAGAAGCTCCCGGGGGCTCGCAAAGCGTGAACTTTCCGTTGCCATCCAGAACAACGCGTGGGCACAACCCGAAAACACGTTGGAAATAATATCGATGATGATGATGTTAATGCCATTTACCCAGGTATTGCCTCAGTGTCCTAAGACCTTTAGAGGGAGGATTGCGTAATTGGGGTGTTCAGCCATTTCCATTCATGAGAGTTTGGCTTAATGTGGGAGGAAACCGGGGAACCTGGAGAAACCCCAAGCATTCGAGAGGGTAACAATCAAAATCTCCATAAAGATAGATTTAAGAATCCATTTCTGTATTGCCACTACCTTACAGTCTACAACGCCTGGCAATCCCAGGCAGTCTACCTTCCAAGTGAGCATCTGAGATCTGACAGGATCAGGCACATGCAGGGCGAGTTGGTCTCCAGCTGGGATGATTAGTCGATTAACTAACTTTATTGTAGCCGATACCTTGGGTCTCAAAAAAATATTATGATCATTGGACACCCATCCACCTGACGGCGGGAAACCCCCCCTGACAAGCCACAACCAGTCTGACAACACGGGCTGATGACACTCATGACATCGTAAAGCACTGCCAATCACCTCCTGTCCAGCGGCACATGCGGGGACAAGATGACAAAAATAAGCTAAACTTTTTGTTCCACAACTATCTCTTTGTTATCTGATTAGTCGAGCAAAGCCGCATGATAATGTGCAGAGCAACTGGTTACCTAAATAATCGGATTACATAATCCCAGCCCTGGTTTGGTCAAATCACCTCTGTCAGGTGACCCACAGATGCCTGCGGAAGAGGCTGAGAATCTTCTGTTGATGAAAGAATCCCCGGGCTTAGGTTGGCTCATGTTTGAGGCCAGGGATCTCCCTCCTGCAAGACAACGAGAATACAACTTGGACTGACCGAGCGACTCTAAAACCAGCGTCCCAACGCCTGGGGTCGGCACATCCTAAACGCATTTTTCGTAGGTTCAAGGCGCAGGCTCCATTGCGATTCTATTCTCCCGACGTGGCAGCATAGAGCGGTGCTGCCACAGTTAGTCCATCAGCAGGCTACGGGCGGCAGAGTAAAGTCTGGGGACTCCTCCTTCTGAGACGTATGGACAGCGTGGAAGAGTAGACCAAACACCTTCTAGAGGGGCTCTTTAGATCTCCCGGGCACCTTCCACCAGCAGTGGCGTGAGCTAATGAAGGGTTGCCCCCTTCATCTATGCAATGTGTATATATAAAATGCTTTAATGGGGCACAGATCATTCAATGGATGAGCACAATAACAACAATGATGTCAAGTCAAAGTCAAGTACCGCCCGCCCCCCCCCCATTCGAACTGGTGAGCATGGTGCGACACCCATCACAGTTTGCAAACTGTAACCCAGCGGCGGCGGAAATTCCATATTCAACCGTGGTGGCCAGTCTCTCAATCGGATAACCACTACCGTGTAATAACGAAAACTATATCTTTTAAGTTAACTCCGCAGATTATCAATCCGCCAGCAGATGAGGGCCTCTCTCACAGGATGCCATGTCAGCCACAGGGGGCCTGTATGCCCGCACTGCGCATCGCCTGGGCAGTGCGGGTTGTTGGGGGGGAGCGAGGAGGCGAAGACCGGTCCCGATATTACGAGCCACTGATGTCAGTCGTGGCCGGGAATAAATACTCGGGTCGCCGGGTTCGCAGCGGGTTAACTACCGCACCAGCGCGTCACCCCGCTAATCACTCGTGATCGCGCATTATACACAAAACACATTTGCGAACGTCCTTACCTTTTTTGTTCTGCAGGGCCGCAGAATTTAGACGCAAACACTGGACCCTAAGATCCATTACGATTCCTCTCCGAAGCAAAATTTACAGAGCACGTAAATAAATGAAACGCAAAAAACTTGGGCGTTTTGGAGTTGAACCGCTGGTGAGTATAGCACAACTGGCCCGACTGCGGAAGAAACTGTGACAACAACAAAAAAAACTAAAAAACGTTCCTGAAACTCCGTGAGCCGCGCCTATTTCGGAATTAGCCACAAAAATGTGACCCAAACTGTGAATTCGCAGGCACACAACAGCCTGGTGGCAGTGGCGACACGTTTAGCGAGCACTAGGGGGGAGGGGGGGCGTTTGACGATTGTGTATTCCATCACAAACAAGAAGAGACTTGGCCAAGCAAGGGCAAATGTCGCATACCCGCGGAAACACGTGTGTTGTCGTGATGCGTCGGCCACAAGGCTGGTACCGAGACAATTTAACACGCGAGTACGCTGTTACGTAGCTTTGCTATTCATCAGGGCTGGCCGCGAGATGGCGATACTACGACACGTGATGAAAGTGGCACTGCAAGATGCCTCTGCAGTGGGAAATGCCGGCCGGAGATGAGAAAAGACGGTAACAGTTTGCTCTCCACATTTTCGGACACGGGCCAAACACAGGATTACTGTCCTTCCGGTGAGTGGTGCGAAACGTCGGACGTCACGCCGCACGCCGCACGACACAACCCGAAAACGCGTCGGGGGAGAGGGCCGTACGCGCACGTGAGGAATCGTAACGCAAGCGATTCGTACAAACGGCACGTGACCATGCACGGGGGGACACGGAGACACGCATCGGACCTGTGAACAGGTGAGTGGCCGCTGTAAGCTCACCTTCTTGCACGGGTGAGTTAGGAGAGGCGGCCACGGAGCTGCTCCCTCCCCAGGACCAGCGTTTGCGCCGTGTGTCCAAACTTCCGCGTCTCTCCAATGACCGCTGGATGATCGGCTGCACCTGCCCATCGAGTGGGGGGGGGGGTAAGAGTGGCAAAAGTAGAGGTGACCCAGGTGGCTCAGGAGGAAAATGCCGTGTCAGAGACACCGAGCCGCCACCACTGAGACCCTGCGCAACAGCCACCTGTGACTGAACCGGGTTCCTGAACGTGAGCGAGTCTTTGGCCTCAGCCTGGACGCCACCTGTGATTTAACCGGGTTCCTGAACGTGAGCGAGTCTTTGGCCTCAGCCTCGGCGCCACCTGTGACTGAACCGGTTTCCTGAATGTGAGCGAGTCTTTGGCCTCAGCCTGGACGCCACCTGTGACTGAACCGGGTTCATGAATGTGAGCGAGTCTTTGGCCTCAGCCTGGACGCCACCTGTGACTGAACCGGGTTCCTGAATGCGAGCGAGTCTTTGGCCTCAGCCTGGACGCCACCTGTGATTTAACCGGGTTCCTGAACGTGAGCGAGTCTTTGGCCTCAGCCTGGACGCCACCTGTGACTGAACCGGGTTCCTGAATGTGAGCGAGTCTTTGGCCTCAGCCTGGACACCAACGACTGCACAAAACAAAAACAATATTACATTTCATTTTAGCACCGAGTCGGCACGGCTGAGATAGCCGAGTTTGAATTTGGGTTCCAGCTGCCCGTTATTAATCCATCTTGCCAAGTGGAGCGAGCTGATGTACGTTTTGTTGAACTTCTTTCCCACTGTACGTAGCCAAACCTTGATATTCGGGGGATTGATAGTCTCATCTTTGTCATCAATGACTGTACAAATACCCCCAATCAGGTTCATTTTGGAAATCTGGTGCTCACTTAATTTAGCTGCAATAGATTTATTTTGACTGTCATAAGACAGGACACTCTTTACGGGGGATATGAGCGGTGCACCCCCCTTGTGTGGATGAGAGGCAGGTCACGTTCCTTCAGACAGTATTACATTTACGTTTTTCACTTCATTGGGCAAAATATCCAGCTCTCAGATCTAAGAAATATAAATATATTTGACTTTCGAAAAGACAAACACCCTTTCAAGTGGGGGAGGTGTATAAAAAACTCCAGTTCGCCTCGCACTGAGAGTTCACAGAGAAGCAGTTCTGAGATGTGGGTATGCGTGGATACTCTGTGATATAAAATTATTACGGGAGTGGCCACACATCCGGAGCCTATGAGCGAGCCACGGACTAAAATCTCCGCGTGGCAGAGAGCCACAAGTCACACGGAGATCATGCCACCTTCCACGCTCAGGCTGCTTTGGCTGTGGAGTTTAGAAATATGTGGAAGCAACCCTCCCCCCCACCCCCCACAAGCAACACTCGTGTCTGGCTCCAACGCCAGAAGGCGAGCGCCCCGGGCCCACTCCCGCGTCCGCGGAAGAATTCCCGCTTTGTAATCAAGTTGCGTCGAAAGGTGCGCGCACGGGGGAGATGACGCACGCTTGGAACTGCATTGAGAAGCAGAATGAGGGAGCATGTGGGAATTGAGAACGCGCGCAGGTGAACGGCACTCAAACCGAGAGGAAGAGTAAGTTGGTTTGGGAAGGACGCGCGACAATCAGGGACGGCGTCCGATGGTTTAGAATAACAACGGAGTGGCAGCCGAGGGACGGAGTGCGCGTAAGTACGAACGTCCGTCCACCGATGAGATGGGAGTGACAATATCGGCTGATGTGCAGGATCGGGAGAGGTGGCAGTGGCCTGAGGAGGGCTTCATCCAGCAGTGGATTGACAAAGGGCTGTAAATTATTATCTGTAGTTTATATTAAATTGAATTGTTTGCATGGTTGTATATTATATACACTGTGACCCAAGTGGCATGGGGAGACTGCCATCCATGTTTTAAATGTGTACAATCCAGTATAGACTAAAGTATTAATTAATTAATGGGCTAACGTTTGTGTGAATACATGAATTAATGATTTGAGTGAATAAAACGAGGAGGGTATGAATGAGTGATGAGACAAGAAATAAATTAATTCATGAATGGGTGGGACCCCAAAAGAACCCCATTGTCCACGTGTTTTTTTTTACAAACGCAAGCATGCGGAATTTAAAGACGATCTTTGTTCGCTATGATTTGTAGGGTGACCGTGTAAAGCTCTGCACACTGGGCACTGTGTTACCCAACAACACCCAGGGACTTCGCTGCCAGGCCAAGACTCTGCACACAGGGCTTCCTCCAATGAGAAGCTATTGTCAACAAAAGCACTCAAAAGTCAAAGTAGAACACAACAATAATAATAAGTGTTTATTTACCCACAGTCAGACCGGGTGGCTCAGCAGTCAAGCAAGTTCACATCCTGGTTGTGGAGGGGGGGGGGGATTGATTCAGCCCGTCATCCATCTGGGGTCGATTACAATAGGTACCACTTTGTGGGCAAGTCAACGGTGGTTGTCGTACGGACAAACTCGCTCCTGCAATAGGAATGTGGAATTTACACGACTGGCTCAGGGCTGTGGAAATGCAATGAGCGCCGACGCCTCAACGCTCGTTTGAATGAGAAATAAATCGGGACCACTGACACCGATGTTACCAGGAAACATGAAACTTTGCAAATTCCTCTTAAAGGAGAGATGTGCGTGTGACTAATAAAAAAAAATAAGGATCCGGAGGAAACCCACCGTGCATGAGAGGGGCTAACACCCAAACACTTCGCACAGGTGAGTTCACAGGCCCACTTGCCGTACTGCCATCACGTGGCCACATCGCAGCCTTGCAGCTTTTGGAGTTTCAATCCCCCCGTGGGTCCACCAACCCTTGCCGACATAGAGCGCTTTGCGATGCAGCGGATTTGTCAATAATTACGGGTAACAAAACAAGGTCCAACGGTGACAAGAAATGGGACTGCTGTAAAATTCAAGGTGACGATGTAAAAGGAAAAAAACCACTCGAACATGAGAAAGCAACACAATGTAAGCACAATGAATGACACGATCCAAGTGCTTTTTGCAAAGAAATATTTTGAATAATTACCCCACCAAGGCCGACCGCCCACGCGATTCACAATAATAACATCAACAAGCCGGGGCCACAACCTCGAGCGGCCAGTCCAAACCACCGCGCTCAACTTGGTCCATGCCTGCAAGGCGCTTTTGCACCGCATCTCGAGCGAGTAGTTTGCACAAAACGCGGAAACGTAACCGGGCGCATTCACGATCGCGCCGACCGAATGTGCACGCGGCGCCGCAAGTCAATCGCGCCCAATGGTGGAAGCCATCCAATGCCTTTGAATTTGTCTGCGGGTTTTTTTTTGTTTAAAGGAGGCAAAGGAGCAGCCCTGCAATTGCTCACTCAAGTGGTATTTGGGGCCTGCTCTTCCGAGTCGGCCAGGCGTCTTCGAAGGGATACGCGTGCACCCACACCTCACCCCACCACACTCCAACCTGCCCATCGACGAGCTCTGGTGGACCCATGTATACTGCTGGGTGGACAGAGACGGGGGTGGGGGAATTTAAGAAACTCAACAGTTGTTTAAAATGCCGTGCCGGGAGAACGAATCGAACGAGCCACGTCCAGGTTTGCAAGTCCGGCGTACCGACCACTACGCCACGGGCATCACTCGGTTCGGTTAAAAATCACTGCCCGCTTCCCGGCTATGAATCGAGCGTTCTTGTTGTGCGCGAGCATCTCATCTCATCGCCCAACAAATATACACGGCACGCTGCACAAGTCTCATTTTGTCCGTCCGAGCGGACGGTGAATGTACGGTGTAATTGTGTGTGTGTGTGTGCAAGTCGCAGCCAGAACCCTGGCACACCCCACCCCCGTGCATGCTGTCAAACACCCACTCTGTCTCATCTCATCGCCCAACAAATATACACGGCACGCTGCACAAGTCTCATTTTGTCCGTCCGAGCGGACGGTGAATGTACGGTGTAATTGTGTGTGTGTGTGTGCAAGTCGCAGCCAGAACCCTGGCACACCCCACCCCCGTGCATGCTGTCAAACACCCACTCTGTTTGTGCCACGGCGCGGGGGACGTTATTTAGCCGGTGTACGTTTCGAGACGTCGTTAGCCACGGCATTAACCGTGCGCTCGCGCGGGCTCACGTACAAAGGCGCGCGTGGCACCAACGTAAAAGGCCTTTTGTCAATCCGACACTGGATAAGAGAGTGCCCCCCCTCCCCCACCAAGCCATGTGGGTCGTGCGGGTTGTTTGACCATACTTCACCATGCTGGTCAGTGCGGGTTGCTGTCATCATTTTCCAACCCCCTTTCAATTAAGAACACAGCAAAACAAGGTTATTTGGGGCACAGCTGGTGGTAGGCTTGTCCACGTTACCATGTCCGAGGATGAGAGCGGGACCGACATTCTCGAAACGTAACAGAGATGTGGGTCAAGCAACACCTCCGCTACTTTCGATCTATAGTGACAGATTGTCAATAGTCGGAAGTGTAGATGTGGGAGTAAATGAGTACAGTACAACAATAATGTTACTGCGCTGTGTTCTGCTGTTCCTCCTCACAGCTCCACAGCTATTACAGCTGTCTTGGATGGCGGTTGCCCATCCGTTCACTGTTCAGGCTCAACAGGGCTTAGCTTCTGAAATCTGAAGAGATCAGATGCATTCTGGGAGATTTGTTCATAGGCTCATTTCTGAAACATTTCTCAACGTTGGGACAATTTTCGTCCTAACTATATGCAGATACATTGTCTGAAAAATAATGTAATAGTTATTTAATTCAAATGCCATTGTCAATCTATTGCTGGATGAAGGGCTCCCCCATTCCATGCCGGGAAAAATTGTTTAAATATTAATTTCGTTCCGTCACGGTGTATTTTTGCATAACGCCAAGTTGAGTAAACATGGGGTCCGTTTCGCTACGTCGAAACAACGTTCAGGTCCGTCGGCCAAACGCTACCGGCAACCACAGTCGATCGAATGTTTTCGAGGCCACGCCCTGCTAACGACGGGATCAGACTGCCGAGACGGGGTGCTGCGGGTGGCGGGGTCCAGCCTTCCGCTTCACCAATTGTTGCTGGGAAACGTTGGCTCTCTAAAGGCCCACGGGGA